CAGGGTTGATCTCCAGTGTGGAGCATGCCTCTAGGAGGCAGCCAATAAATGATTATTTCTCATCATTGATGTTTCTCCCTCTCCCTCCCTCTCTGAAATTAAAAAAAATAATTAAAAATAATAAAATGAAATGCAGATTTGGATTCATTGAGTCTGGAGTGGGCTCGAGGTTCTATAGTCCTAACTAGCTCCTAGGAAATGCTCATGTTGTTGGTTCCTGAACCACACTTTGAGTAGCAAAAAGTTAGACAATATTCCCATTTTTACAGAGGCCCAGGAAGGCAGTTTCCTTGACTGGCTGCCTGAGACACCCTCAGACTACCCAGAAATGAAAACAGGAGAAAAGACTAGTGACTTAAAAGTCAGAATATGGCACAAAACAAATTGCAAGGTTCAAGAGAACATGAAATTATATTCCATTAATTATGATAAGTAGACATAGGAAAGTCATTATGTAAGAAGAAGATTGCGAGAAAGCCAACCATGAGCAGGTCAGCCATCCTTCCCTTGTCAGATCGTTTCCTGTGTAGAGATCACATGGGGAGGAACAGGAGCTGTTTCAACTGGGATGAAATTCTGCTGAGAAGTCCTTACACAGCAATTGCTATTTACTCAGAACAAAAAGCAATTTAAGTCAGGCAACAAGAAGAACATAGAATTTTGAACCTTCTGGCCCAGGGCTCCTCTAGGGAGAAAATAATTGATTTATTTGATAGTGGGTGATACTTTTAGGTGTGTATTTTCAAAGTGCCACAAACATATCACCTTAATTAACCATGAAAGAGTGTTCATTATTTCTCCAAAGAATGAACATGAACTCAAAAGACCGACTTATGCAGGGCCTCTAGGAGGCGAGGTAGGTTATGATGGCTTCTGGGCAGGAGTCACTTCTGGGCCTTGGGGACCCTTCTCAGGTTGCCCCAGACATCATATTCTTAAAACAGGGATCAGAACCTGTTCACCAATCAAGATAACTGCATATACTGGAAGGCTCGGAGGACGTGGCTGAAAATGCAACAAAATCACTTCAGCTAGAGAGTATCCTCAAGTTTCTGAGTCACTACAGAACTCAGAACAAAATGCAATTACCAGGGCAGAACATGTTTACAACACATGCACACACACATGACTCTAGATTGTGATATAATATTCCCTAAGGGGGGGAAAAACAGATTGTGACCAAGATTAATCATGCATCCCTTACTCTAATTTCCTGTAGTGGATATTAAAAGCCAAGAACTGTTGTTGAACTTGCATCCCACAAATTCAGAGATGAGCCACACCCTCCTGACTCACTCCTGCCCTAACCCTGAGAGCTCTCCGGGGGAGCAGGGCCAAGCCTCTGCTGCCTGGAGTGCCTCTGGGTAGAGTTTGGCCCTTGTCTCTCCTTTCTGATCTTTGCTGGCCATGGAAGCACCATCAGTTGTTGCTTTGTCTCGTGCTTTTTTTTTTTTTTTTTTTGTGCTCCATGATTGCTGCTGTGCATTTTACATGCAATGTTTCCATTCAGATATATTTCACTAACGATGATTAAACATCATTCGTGAAATATAGTGGCAACCATATTTTGGTAAAAACTGCTGTTTGAATTTTAACCCGTCTAGTTTAGCCCCTGCATCTGATTAAAACACAGGGTACTTACCTCAGCTTCCAGGTGAAGGCCTGGAGGCTAAGGCAGTTTTCCCTTGCCTGGGACCAGGACCACAGGAGAATGATTCCCACTGACTCAGTAGCTTTGGGGATAGAAACTGTAGATAACCTTTAGAGTCTAACCACTGAGCTCTGCTTCTGTGTTATCGCTATCGCAAGATAGGGCCACATTCCATGTCCAGCAGGATGTGACTGGGAACCAACCCTGCGGGCTGTCCCCAGTCTTTAGAATTTAGTCTTTAGGATTTAGAATTTAGAACAAAGGAAAATTCCTGTGGTTTGAACCTTTAAAAGGGACTGCCCACCCCTGAAACGGTGCAGTCATTTGGAGTCCACCTGCGTGTGGTGCTCTTGTGGCTGTCCTGGCCAGTTCAATAAATCCTTGCTAGATTTTTTAAAATTAATTAACCAGCCTCCGGTGGTCTTATTTTGAACCCAGGGTTCGCCCCCACAACAATTCATACAAAGAACTGTCTTTACAGATATCCCAAAGTCATGCATTTCAGGTTTCGAGTCATGTCTCTTCCCAAGGAAACTTTCAAAATGCTTTATTTATTCATGTTTCTTGGCGAGTTTCCCTTGACTGCCTGTTCTGTGTTAGCAGAGAAAGTATGAGGGTTATGACTTGCCCTGCTGTTAAAGAGCCCCCGACCCCCCAAAAAACCAAAGAGCATTTTGTCCATTTTTAATGCATCGTGGGGTGGGGTTATGGAGGATTATCACACAATTTACCCTGTTGGTTGACTCTGCTTAGATACCGGGAAATATGGAACGCTCTTCCCATTGACAGCCCTCCCTTCTTCCCTGTGCCTCCAGAGGCCAGGCAGAAACCTGCAGTTCTCTGGGAGAATTTGTCAGGTGTGTGTTTGTGTTTGGTTTTACTTTTCTCTCCATTCTCTAAACATTTCCTTTAAAAAAGTACTTAACTTCCTTTGTAAGAAACTCAGTTTCCCCGACCTTCTCTTTTCTGTAGAGAGCGCCTGGGAAGGCACATGGGCATTCTTCCTTAATGATTGTCAGCTGAACCCCAGGCGACATGTAAAGCTGAGTCTTGGTTACACATCTTACCAAAAAAAGAAAATGTGTTCTCAGCATTGACTCTTATCTTTGCCCAGGTGTTGGGAACAGGGTTTTAATATGTAAAACCAGTCAAGCACTAGGAATGAGTAAGACTTGGGCCTATTCAAGAATGCAAATAATCTTCATTGTCTTGACTTTTGGTGAGATTTCCAGGTATTTGGGGGTATAAAATAAACAGGTTGAATCAGCCCTGGGTCACTGTCTCTCCATCAAAAGAGGGCAGCAGTCCACCTGGTCCCAGCTTTTCCCCTCTATCTCTTTGTCTCTTTCTTTCTTTTATTTCTTAATCCCCAGCCCTTCTACTCAACGAACCTGATCATCTCTCTTTTTTGTGCTGGACTCGGAAAAGAGAGACCCCGCCATACTTTCACTCTGTGTTCCTAATGGTCCTTGAAATGAAGATACTTAGTTGAGTTTCCTGATTTGTCAGCCTACACAATGGCTCTCAAGAGAATACCTGGTGACCTGTGGCATTCTCTGTTGAGATAAAATGCACATTTTGCATTCTGGCATCTAAACATAGGGGTAGATTTAAAATCAAAGACAAACAAGGTTAGATAATCGTGTCCAGTATGGTATCAAACAGTCCTTCAGAGCAAAACCTCAGTCTCTAATCTTCCATCACTTTGGTGTCATGGAGAGTTTGCCTTTAGGAATGCAATACTGCATTGTTAAAGGCTTACCTCAAGTCAAATATTTCTTCTTGAAGACCTTCCACTTTGCAAGATCATTGCTCACAAGAATTTAATGCTCTAAATAAGGACATTTGTTTGGGCTTCAAATTCTGGGTTTAAATTTTTTAAAATTTCTCCTTAAATTGTGAGCATGGTTGTGATTTATTCTTTATTATTATTTAAGTTTTATTTCCTTCATAAGTTGTACTGTTTTAAACATGTTCTACCCTGGTAATTGCATTTTGTTCTGAGTTCTGTGAAAATAGCGTATGCTTATATCCACTTCATCTGGCACTTACAGACCAGGATCTTTCAACTGGTTCTTTGAATATCATGACCAGACATATTGTTATCAAAGCCTTATAACTAAAAGTCCCTCTTGTCATATGTGTATGACTTATTTTTTTGATTTCTCAGTTTAGTGCTTCCTATTTGGGATTGCTGTAGTTATTATAGTTATTGAGTTACTGTTCGTTGAGTATAACTTTTCTTGGCAGAAATCAGCCCAGATTTCTTCCTTTGACATAGCTTTGACTTGTGTCTTAGTACTTTTGTGTTTCTAAAATTGTTCAAATAGTCCATTAATTCTACCAAACAACCAATCATCTGATTGGAAAAAAAATACCTGTCAAACTAGTTATTTGAACCATTAGAGTTGGATTACATTACTGTATACTGTGCACTTAAATTAGGGTTATATTATATTGTATACTGTGAATTCCAGGCATATCATATGTTGATCAAATTCCTGTCTCTAGGTTTGATGGATTACCTTTGTATAATGACCTAAGTCATGTGTTTGAAATATGGCTGGGATCTATAGGAAAAACAAATGCATTCCAGTAATATACCTACAAACGTCCAATTTAATGTCTGTGATAATGATATAGTATGGAGTCGAAGGGCACTGGGTGGGAAGTAGAAAAGCTGAGATCTGTCCCAGCTCTGTTACAGAATGTCTTCTTTAACCCATGTAGGCTTAAGTTTCCTCACTGTGCGATGAGGGTATTGGACTATAGTTTCTGAGGTCTCTTCCAGCTCTGAAAAGTTAACATCTACCAGCAAATGGAGATGGGCCGACCCTTCTTATCTTTGGAAAATGGTGTAGAACATGAAAGGACACTTCTTCAGATTTCTATGCCTCTTCTCATGGTTGGCTTTAGGATATAACTGTATTCAATTTTCTGGAAGAAAATACTTTTTCATGAAACAAACTACATCTTGCCATGAAACGTGATAAATGGGTAATTGGTGTAATGATAATAACTCATTTAGATTGCTTTGTTCTTCATTATTTCATTCAATCATTAGCTCATAAGACCTCTCGGAGCCTATGTCCCATCCACACCTAACAGTCCCTCCAAGTTCTGGTTCCAGGAGAGAGTGAGTGTGACCTCCCCGCTGTGACTGAGGTAATCCCTGTGGCCCATGAGGGAGGGGATGGCCTGGGAACCATTTGCCTGTCAAGTGTACCCATCTGCACAATTCTCCTTGGCTGCGCAAACATACTGCTCTCAATTTTTCATTCATATCAGTGAAAGGTGAGGCGAGGCCCTCTTTTAAGATATAACTATGCAATCATGTAACAAAACTGGCTAATGGCACTTCATTTATTTCAGGGCTAAATGCTCATTATTGTTTGTAAAGGATGAATTTATAACCTCAGCAGAGTTAAGTTTATACATGGTTGATTTCTTACAAAGGTAGGAAGTCCTTGTGTTCTTGTCAAGCTTTGACTTACAAAACTTTCGTTTTCTTTTAGGTTGGTGTGTGTGGGTATCTAAGAGAATGTTAGCAACTAGATGGGGGAGAAGGGATATAGAATTTGAAATGTGGAAGAAGGGAAAACACATTTCAGAAATTGTAAAAAAACACACACACACACACACACAAAACCCAAAACACTGAGTGGGTGTCATGGGCTGTCTTGACAGAAAAGACCCACACATGAGCTCCTGTGTTTATGTGCTTCCTGCAGGGGCTAGGAAGACTGGATTTTCCTCACGGAAGGAGTGTGAATCTGGAAATTCTTAAACGAAAAGTGGTGTAATTTCATGCTGCAAAGAGGCACTTGGCTTATGCAATTGAAATAAAAAAAGTAAAGTGCCTACCTGAGTGTTTCTAGGGTAATTGTAGGCAAATGAGACTAATTAGAAGCCTTTGCAGTCTGTAATTAAAAGCTAGTAAGCAATGAATTCTGTGATGAAAGATCCCTGGATGTTTGGGAGAGTCATACAGAAAGAATACTAATCCTTTTGGGGGGTTTTTACACATTTGGGACAATGAGTGTAGGAAATAGGGAGAGGCAATATTTTAGTACCAGTTATAGTTGGAAAATGACATTTAAATAGAATGGGAGCTTACAGGGGCAAGCTGAGAAGTACAATTGTCTCCCTTTATTTGTGAGGTACATATTCCAAGACCCCTAGTGGATGTCTGAAACCAAATCATATATATATAAAATTTTTTCTTATACTAGTACACACATCCCTTTTCACTTAAAGGAAGCACTTTACAGCTTCTCTTTGGCATGTCTAAATTGCTAACATCATTACTCTTGCGCTTTGGGGCCATCATTAAGTAAAATAAGGATCACTTGAACACAGACACTGCTCCTGCATGGCAGTTGATCTGATAGCTGAGATGGGTACTGAGTGACCAAGGGCAGGGAGCATAAGCTGTGTGGATACGCTGGACAAAGGGATGATTCATGTTCTGAGTAGGACCAAGTGGATGGTTTGAGGTTTTATCACACTACTCAAAATAGCACGAAATTTTAAACTTATGAATTGTTTGTTTCTGGAATTTTCCATTTAATATCTTCAGATGGCAATTAACCATGGTAACTGAAATGGCAGAAAGGGAAAGCACAGATTGGGGGGCATGTGGAGAACTATACTTTCAGTTGAAGCAATAGGAAAAATTAACTTTTGGGGACTTTTAAACACATACTTTTTCACGCCCCATAGCCAGACCCTTTGTTTAGATCCGGTTATTATTGGAAATGGGAGAAGGTGTGAAAGCAAAGGAGGTAAAGGGAATGCAATGGGGAAAGGAGGAAGCAGGAAAGTCCACTTTGCTGAATAAAGAATATTTCATAGGATAAGCCTGACATATTCTCCCCCCAATCAATTTGATTAAAAAGCAAAAATGCTACTTTTAAAAACACAGTTCATTCCTTATTTGCCATGACAATATATAATACAGAGAAAATACGGCTACCTATCAACATAAGCATTTCCGGGGTGAATCTTTGGCAAAAATGTAACCGGCAACAATTCATTCAACCAGGTTCCAGAATCATGGCCCTGAACTTTCCAAAAGCTTTCCCTCAGAAAGGCTTTCTTGTATCTTCTCAGCCAGGCATGCAGAGGTCCACGTTGGTTCTAATCTAATAGCTTTGGTAGAAACAGGCTGAAGACGGACATGAATACAAAATACTTTGTCTGTAGGCTATTTTGGCGTGGATGTGTAAGGCCCGAAGACACTGGCAGATTAGTAAATTTCTTAAAATAACACCAGTGACGGTAAGCCACACAGGTAGAATAGCCGATGCAGCAGAAGAGGTCAGCGCTGCATTCTCATGGTTTGTAGAAGGCATCTGAGTAAGGCCACCAGGACAGGAAGCAAGTGTCTCTTTGGGTTTTCCCGCGATGATTTCCCATCAGCTGCACGTTCACGGGAGGGGGGTATGCAAGGCAGCCTTGGACTTTGCTCCCACGCTGTCAGCAGGCTGCGGCTGCAGGGAGGACGTGGCAGTGGGCTGGCTAGTGGCTGTGCGTGGAGGGCTCAGGGCGCAGAGGCCCCCGGTGCAGGGACTTCCTCTCGGTCCGCCCTCCGCAGGGGCTTGAGCTGGGCTGCAGAGGCTGGCTGGCTGCCCTTCTGGTCCTTGAATGGGGTGGCGGAGGGTCCCGCCACCTCAGATGATGGAGCAGCAGCGGTGACACCCAGAGCAGCGTTTCTTTTTCTTGGGGTGGAAGATGGTGAAGATGGCTTCGTCGAACACCGCCTTGAGACCTTTCTGGGTCAGGGCCGAGCATTCCAAGTAGCACTGTGCTCCGATCTTAAACACACAAGGGAGAAAGGCGTGAGAGGAGAAATGGAAAGGGCACCTGGGGTCAGCCCTCTGCCCACCCTAAAGGGCTGCTGCAGCTGGCTCCTCAAACAGCCTGGGCTTGGGTTTCTGTTTGTTTGTTAATCCTCACCCAAGGACATGTTTCCATGGATTTCTGGAGAGCGTGGGAGAGGGAGAGACAGAGAGAAACAGCTATGTGGGAGAGTCACATCACATGGATTGGTTGCCTCCCGCACCCACCACAACGAGGGAGGGGAATTAAGCCTGCAACCCTTGAACATGCCCTTCCCTGGAATCGAACCCTGGTCCTTTCAGTCCGCCCATAGGCCAATGCTCTATCCACTGAGCAAAATCAGCTAGGGCAGATTGTTTTGTTTTCTTTTGCATTTCACTTTGCCTCTGCTATCTTGATTTTTTTTTTTTTGTATATTTTTTACTTTCTTCCATTAACAATACATGGTTATGAATCACTTTTGGTAAGCAATGCATTCTGAAAGTCATCCATAACCATTTATTCTTTATATAAAATTATGAAAATAGAGGATTGTATTATGGTCTCAATATATTTTTGTGAACAACAGGTGTAAGCATCCTCTCATTTTGTGCCCAGAATGTATAAATTTGGTACAGTGAAATATATTTATCACCTTCGGTACATGGTAAGGCAAAGTGTCGACTTGATTGATAAAACATGAGGAGAGAGTGGGTATATGGTTTTACAGGTCATTATTGAATACAATACACTTTTGATAGGGTATTTCTCAGAAAGGTAATATCTAGTTGATATTATTATTATTATTTGGTTTTAAGACACTTGAAAAGGCATATTTTTAAGCAGTTAAAAAACCCAAAGCATAAAAAAAAAATCATAAAATGCACTTATTGACAGAGACTATCCTTGTCAGTAGATAGTCTATGCACTATTTAAAGATAAATAATTTGTGCTTGCTTAGAGCTTTATTTCAAAGCTTTTAATGATTTCATCCTATGGTATACTTGATATCACAAAATTCCTGTGAGAAATATAAAAACTCAGAACTACAGATTGTCATTAGAAAAGCTGTAGGGCAAAGCAGATCATGCTTTGCAGTCAACTTTGTGAGATAATTCATGAGAGGGCGATCCCGAGTCTTAAGTTCTCACAACCTCAGTATGAGCCAACCATTGGATGAGGGCCTTTTAATATCAAGGACCTATAGAGAAATGCTTCTATTAGATGCTTCGCATTACAAGAATAACTGAAAAATTAAAGCAGGTTTAGAAGAGGGTGGCTGAATGGCGAGCTCCCAGAAACCAGAGCAGATTAGGGCCAGCAGCTTATGCCAGTGATAAAGCAGGGCTAGTGCCAGGTGACAGGGAGTGGTGGGGATTGCTGTGGACACCAGCTCTGGAGTTGGCGGTATTACTCAGTTTTAGGTAATGTTGCCATGCAGGCATGTTGGTTCACTGTTGCCCAGCTTTGTATTTTTCAAGAGGAGTTGGACATTTGGATGTTTAGTTAATGTTTACCAATTTTCAAAATGCTCTGTGGGCCAAGCAAAAACACTGATGTGGGATATCTTTGGCAGCAGTCAGCCAGCTTGTAATGTGTGGACCAAAGAAATTTATGGCTTAGTTTAGCACAGAGTGGGAACAGCTACAAGAAGGTAACATGAATTGTTTAAGGACACCCAAAGAGAAAGTGAAAGAACTAGACCAGAACCTGAGTCTCTTTTCTGGGTGTTCTTTGCCTTGTTCCAGGATAGAAATTGTGACCCTTATCACTCAGCCAGAAGCTGGTCAAGTAGACAAGCAAAGAAGTGAGGTTGTGTACTCACGCAAAAGCCCAGAGATATAAAACGAAGCATGAAATAAAATTGTTCTGATTGAGTTCAGATATTATGCACCTTTTTTTTTTTTTTTTTTTTTTTTTTTTTTTTTTTTTTTTCTTTTTTTTGAGTAAAGAATGGTTACTGTCTGAGCCAAAGGAGAACACCCAAAGAAAAGATATTGGATCTTGAAGATCGATTTTATGGCTTTTGTTTTACCATGGCTCTTTGAGCTAGAACATAACTTTTTTTTTTTTTTTAAATAATGAAAAAAAAAGTTTCAAGAGAGGGATAAAAGGTAGAGAAAATTTTCTTAACAATGCTATGAAATGTCATTTGTCACATTTTGGGATTGTGTCCAGTGCTCAATGTAAACACCTGTGAAAAGCACACTACCCTACTGAATGTGTCAACTGAAGGACTGCTTGAAGTGTGCTAGCTCTTGTCAGTCATCCTGAAAAAATGCCCAGAAAGTGGGGGCATTCTCTCTGGAATACCTCCCCACGAATGATCATGAGCCTCAGCAGATTCTGGAAATTACAGGGGAGTTGGGCTGAGCTCGGCTGGCATATGGGGTTCTTGGCTGTCTGGTCTACAGATGGGCCACGTACTCTCTCCTTATCCTCCCCTCAACCCCCACTGCTGCTGAGTGTGTCACTATTTGCCTTTTGATGGTGCAAAAGGAGCCCAAACTTGTCTTTTCCAATTCAGACATCCCTGAAGATAATGAAATAGTAGATCAAGGGTTACTGTAATATTATTTTGTACTCATAGATCCAGGAAGAGTAGCAAGCAGACTACGGGTGTGATTTAGGAACTGTGTATGAGAAACAGAACCCAGGTAGGAGGTGAGTACTGTTAACCAAGTATCAAGTGCTCTGAAGGTCAGAGGGAAGAATGCATCCTGGTGCAGGGAAAAGGCACAGCCATGTTATAGAGATTGCTAACAAACAAACAAACAAACAAATACGCCACCCCCAACTAAAACAAAAGCACACCATTTGCACCTCAAAGGTGGGAAATGGAATACTGATACTGTCTCAAGGAAATACTGCTTTTCTTCTCAAAAAATATTTTTATTGATTTTCAGAGAGAAAGGAAGAGAGAGGGAGAAAAAGAAACATGGATGTGAGAATGAAACACCTGTCAGCTGCCTCCTGCATGACCTCTACTTGTGATGGCGCCCACAACCTGGGCATGTGTCCCAGCTGGGAATCGAACCAGCAACCTTCTGGTACACAGGACGATGCCCAACTAACGAGTCACACTGGTCAGGGCAAATGTTGCTTCTCTACAGCAGCTATGGCCTCTGCTTCTCGGAACAAAGTGACCTACATAGACATGGACTTTAGAACCAACCTCTAAGAGCTCAGGATTTGCAGACTCTTGCTTAGATAAACATGCCAGCAATCTGGAACATGCCTCACAAAGAGGATTTCTTTTCAAGAAAATAAAGGAGATTTAGGAAAGTATAATAAACTGAGCAAAAACTTTTCTAATAAATTATAATAGCTAAGATTCATTGTCTCAAAGCTGGGACACTTATCAGACAGAGGTGTGCAGAACTTAAAGTATCTGGTAAGAAGAAATGGAAAAGAAATAAACAAACCCACAATGACTAACCAAGCAGAAGAAAACTTGGTCCTCCTTCCAGGCTGTCCTTGCTGAGGTGCGACAGGGTTCAGAATAAGGGTGTGACTGGAAGGAAAAGAGGCAAAGAGGTTTTCCCCGCTGTAGACGTGTCTGAGGGGGCACACAGATCCAACAACTATCGTTTGCTGAGCCAGACCTTGTGTTAAATTAGCTAATTTAATCGTCCATGAGAAGCTTTTGAAGCAAATCTATCACCATCCTCATCTGCAGCTCAGAAAACTGATGCCCAGCGAGGTCAGGGAACTTCCGTCAGGCCTCACAACTGAGATATTTGAATTTGTTTGTCTCCAGAGCCAGAGTCTTAACCACTCTGCCAGGCTGTGTCTAGCCAACGTAAAGATGTGGCTGAAAGAGCACAAGTGATGAACAAATAGAGAAGGAAAGGAAAGGTAAGGCGATTCCTATAAAAGGGAGGTTAGCAGAATAAACAGAGTAAGCTGGAACCTAAAGAAATGGCTAATAGCAGGGAGGCTCTTTATTTCTTATTTAAGAACTAGGAACGATACACAGAGAGGGCAACTTGCGAGCCAAGACACGGAAAAAGAACCGAATGGCTGTGCGGGAAAATCCATCTCCACAAATCAGTATTGTAATCAAACTGCTGAAAGAGGAAAAGCGTCTGCAAGCGCAGTGAATCCGCTATTGATTTCTTTTAAGACTATAGAGAAGAGATTGCCAACTCAAGGGCGGATAATGTGAGTGCATTGCTTGAGTGCAGGTAATATACAGTGGTAGGGATGGTGGCAAATTGAAGACTTACGTCTTGTCTAAAACACTGTTTAGAACTTGTAGTTGATCTGGAAATGCTGGCTACTTTGGACAGACCTGATTTTTTTTTTTTTTTTTTAGAAGCCAGAAATGCATATATTTATGTAAAGTTTTCAAATTGTTCAACGTTGGCCACTAAATCACATTAAAAATATCTGTGTGGGCCAATCAAAAGATTTATAGGTGAAATTTGGCCCATCACTTGCCAATGTGCTCCTCAGGCTTTAAAGGATGCTTATGCATGTACTGGTCCCCCTATTTGAAAATTTTCTCCCCAGTCTCCTATCTTTGCCCCCCTGACAAATATCCTTATCCTTAAAACCTGGCTCAGATACCGACTGCTCCAAATTTTTTCTCTGAATTCTTCTCCCCTGAATGTATCCGTTGCTCCCTTTTCTTCGGTACATGTGCTGTGTTTATTCAGTTGGCATGCTCTGTTTGCCTGTCTCTGCTCTTCTAGCCTTTTGAGGGCAGGGGCTGTCTCTCTCATCTCTGTAACTCACACCTCAGTGATGAAGTGACAGGCTTCGATGACAACAGGAGAAAGAGGACATGGTTGGTATACAAAACCAACCACGGAGGGTAGCAATGACTTATGCCATCAGGGGGAGAGTAGTAAAGCCTACAGTTGATGATTATGGCTGGACATCGATGACAGGATTTTTGCAGCAATTTTGTTGCTTTAACCCCTCCCTCTTTCCCCCATGCCTATTATAAGCCCAGCAAGAAACAGTGCTGAACCAAAGGGAGGGAACAACAATATATAGGCACAAGGTGAAGAAAATGGCAGGGGGGAGGAAAGGGGGCCAAAGACAGAAAAAGGAAAAATGGTAGTACTGTAAGCGTTTTAGTAAGAAATACCGAACGACTGAGCTTAGAAAATCATGTTTAGGTTGTATCAGGAAGAATTGGGAAAAAGACACACAGAGAATTATAATCTTAGAGCTAAAGTGTGGCAAAGCTTCTGGTACATACTGGGTATTCAGTCAATTATTATTGAATATATCTAGCAATGTGGGCATACACAATGAGCAAAGAATGGGAAAAGAAGGCTGACGATGAAAAAATGCAATGATGAAAAGAAGAGGGAGGATCAAAAAGTACAGGGATAATAATAAATATTTATTATAAACTGATAGAAAGTACTTATGTAAACAGGATTGACTTTGAAGTGTAAAAAAATTAGAAATATATATGATGCAAAGATGTCCTTTAAAAATAAAATGCTATCAAGAACAAAAAAAGATGGTAGATGAAAAATGCTTTGGAAAGCGAAAAATACTAAAAAAAAAAAAAAAAAAAAAAGGAATTGGATATGAAAATCTCAACTTGCAAAGTGTTTATGTATGGGGAGAATATGCACATTAAAATATGGGCCTTAAGTATGGCTGATGTGGCTCAGTGGTTGAGCATTGATCCAGGAATCAAGAGATTGCAGTTAGATTCCCCGTCATGGCACATGCCCGGGTTGCAGGCTCAATAATTGGAAGGGGGCATGCAGGTGGTAGCCAATTGATGATGTTTCTCTCATCAATGTTTCCATCTCTCTATCCCTCTCCATTACTCTCTCTAAAAAAAAAAAAATAAAATAAATATTTTTAAAAATACAGGCCTTCAGCATATAAAAAGAAGCCCTGAACCTAAGGATTTCTTTTTAGATTAGGGGAGAGGGCAAAGGAACGTTATAGTTAAAGCCCACTTTCATATCTCAGCTCTGCCACCTTCTAGTGGTGTGATTTAACTACGCTGAGTGCCAGTTTTCTCCAGGAAAGTGCAGATAATAATATACACGCCTCAAGGGTTGCTGTGAGGATTAGTGAAGACAAGGCATGCGAAGTGTTGGCACCAGACCCAGCACACTTGCGCACACTCTTTAATGCCAGATGTTATTATAAACTGCTTGACAGGAAAGTGAGGGGGCAGAGAAACTTAACGCATCTCTATGATTACATGAATTGTGATGAAACCAGTTAAGCTCTTGTTTGGTTTTCTTCTAAATTGGATCTTGTAGGCTAAGCATATTCTCTCTGTATCTGGTAGCAGATTTGTATGGAACCACAAAATACCCCAAAGAGCCAAAGCAATTCTGAGAAAAAAAGAATGAAGTGAGGGAGCAGAAATCACATTACCTGACTTCAAATTATATTGCAGAGCTACGATAATTAAACAGCATGGTATTGGCAGAAAAACAGACACATAGACCAATGGAACAGAACTGAGAGCTCAGAAATAAAACCACACATATAGGAGCAAATAATTTTTGACAAAAGAACCAAAGACACACAATGGGGAAAAGAAAGTCTCTTCAATAGAAGGTGCTGGGAAAATTGGAAAGCCAAATACAAAAGAAAGAAACTACGACAGTTTGTCCTCAGGTGCAAAAATTAATTCAAAATGGAACAAAGACCTAAATATAAGATCTGAAACAATAAATTACATAGAAGGAAACGTAGATACTAAACTTTGGACCTTGGTCATGGAGAACATTTTATAAATTTGACCCCAAAGGGGAGGTAACGGGAAAAGTAAACGAATGGACTGTATTAATCTAAAACCTTTCTGCAAAAGAAACCACCAGTAAAAAAAAAAAGGGGGGGGGTCAACCAACTGAGTCAGAGAGGATATTTGCGAACAACAGCTTCGACGAGGAGTTAATATCCAAAATATATAAAGAACTCATACAACTCAATACCAAACAATCCAATTAAAAAAAAATGGGCAGAGGACATGAATAGACACTTCTCCCAAGAAGACATACAAATGGCCAACAGATATATTAAAATGTATTCAACTTCACTAGCTATTAGGGAAATGCAAATCAAAACTATAATGAGGACCACCTCACACCTGCTAGAATGGCCATTATCAACAAGATAGGTAATAACAAGTGTTGGAGAGGTTGTGGAGAAAAAAGAACCCTCACTCATGGTGGTGGGAATGTAGACTGGTACAACACTATGGAAAACAGATGGCAGTTCCTAAAAAAAATTAAGAATAGAGTTACCATATGACCAGCAATCCTGCTTCTGGGTATCTAACAACAACAACAGCAACAACAACAAAAACCCCTCAAAAACAGTTATTTACAAAGATATATGCATCCCTATGTCAACTGCAACATTATTCATGGCGGCCAAGACATGGGGAAAACCACAGTGTTCTTTGAAGGAGGATTAGATAAAGAAGATGTGGTATCTATAATAATAAAAGGGTAAAGGGGCCCAATATAGAAAAGGAAAAAGAAGCCCCAACCCAAGGGGGCTTCTTGTTTTCAGATTAGAGGAGGGGCAGAGGCGATTAGTGGTGGTGAAAGCCCACTTCCATATCTCAGCTCTGCCACCTTCTAGTGGTGAGGCTTCAACAATGCTGAGTCCCAGTTTTCTCCAGGAAAGCGGAGATGATAATATACACACATCAGGGGGCTGCTGTGAGGATTAATGAAGACAAGGCATGTAAGGCGTTGGCACCAGGCCTCGCACACTGCGCACACTCCGTAATGCCAGAGGTTATTATAAGCTGCTTGACAGGAAAGAGAGGGAGCAGAAACACTTAAAGCATCTCTATAATTACACGAATTGTGATGAAACAAGTTAAACTCTTGCTTGATTTTCTCCTAAATTGGATCTTGTAAGCTAAACAGGATCCTCTCTGTATCTGAGAGCAGTTGCTAGGAGAAGCTGGCAAAAGGCAATAACGTGGTGAACTCAGCCATTGTTCCTAAAATAAGTATGAAATGAGATGGGAGGTTCTGGAACAACTTCTTTTCAGAGGAAAAAACACACACAAAACTTCCCAAATGAGAAGTCAGGCTAGGATGCTGATGATGGTGGGAGACAGGCCTAAAGCAAGGGATACAGAAACTGCACTTCTTGAAAAAAAACAAAAACAAAAACAAAAACCTGCTGGTGCTGAGCCTCGGGGATCTTGTGAAAAACATGTATCTGGGAATCACATACGACTATGTGTGGAGGTATATATTTACGCACCTTCGCAAGATCGTTTAAGCTGGATGTTTGAGGAGAAGGTAGGAGAACTTCTAGATCTACCTACCCATTTCACAGGAGAAAAAATAAATGGTTGGAGGAGACAGTTTACACAATGGTCAGGGGCGCAGGTGTGATGCCTGCAGAGTTGGAATAGAATTGTTGATGCTGTCATCAGCTGAGTAAATCAAACATGGCTGTCTTCCTCAGACTCTGTTTCCTCACCTGCAAGTTAGGACAAACCCTATCTACTCGGAAGAGTTGTCCTGAAGCTGAAGTGAGACAGCTGGTGAAGGGCAGAGCATACTAAGAACCGCGAGAAAGGCTCACCCGGGAGCTCTGACGTTATCATCCGCAGAAGTAGGAAGCATTCAGCCTCTCAGGTGTGTGTGAGATATTCTCTTGCATCACACCCACACAAACATACTGTTATGGAATGGATTTCTACTCAAGTGTATCGTGATTAGTTTTTGGTACCTAGTAAGAGGAGTGCATATGCTTTTATTGATGAAGCATTTGTAGTTCATTCGTTCTTCCTCACTTTAAAAGGGTGACTCCTAACTCTGCTTGGGGCATGCATTGGGCAGGGTTAGTTTCTTCAGAAAATAAAAGAGATTTCTGAAAACCGCTGGCTTGAGTGGATGGGTTTGTCGCTAAATTAACGAAGAGTGGATTCAGGTTATGGAAAATAACTTATAATCCTTTTGCTTATTTTAGTGTCTGTTTTTGCATACATCTCAGTGGTAATCGGGAGACAAAGATTTGGTGTCTGGCAAATGCTTTTTAAAGTATCTCTTCCCCCAACCCTCAACTCCTTAAATTCATGTTAAGAGTGAAGAAAGGGCCAAAACCGGTGTGGCTCAGTGGACAGAGTGTCGGCCTGCAGACTGAAAGATCCCAGGTTTGATTCTGGCCAAGGGCATGTACCTTGGTTGCGGGCACATCCCCAAGTTGGGGGTGTGCAAGAGGCAGCTGATCAATGACCCTCTCTCATCAAGGTTTCTAACTCTCTATCCCTCTCTCTTCCTCTCTCTAAAAAATCAATAAAATATATTAAAAAAAAAAAAAAGAGTGAAGAAAGGTCTGAGAAAACAATCCAGCTGCGAGCGAATTGCTATTGTCTGCAGCTTGGGTTCTCCAACTAGGTACCTTTCGGTCTCTTTTACTCCACTCGATGCTGTTTGTGACACCAGCCAGCCTCTCTACGTGGCTGTGCATTATGTGGTGAGAAAAACTGAACAAACATCACCCTGCCAGATGCTTTACCTAAGTTTCTCCCAAGAAAACCACAAAATGCCTTTTATGGGGTCGTTTAAATGAGTTACACCGATAATAAGCAGTGCGATTTACAAATACATATCTAATGACTCTCTTTATTCATACTAACTACGGCAAATGGATATTCTGGAGGTTGCTAAATCACATGCTAAGTGCCTCAGCTGTTTGAAAATCACCAAGTTTCTTTCCTTAATGAAAAACAGATAATGCTGGCTGACGAGAACGTCCACCAAACGGTCCCTTTTGGCCTGGCGGGAACAGAGCGGGAGAAGATGAAGCCGAGAGGAGGTTCTGAACACGGTGCACTTGAAGAGCAAAAGCCTACGCAGCACATGCCTTCCAGAGCGGACAGCAAACCCCCCTCGGCGTACGTTTAAAACGAAATTCAAACCAGACCCTACCGCCTTGGCGAGCTTCACACCGTGCTCGTAGGTGAGAGGTTTCTCCTTCATATACAGCAAACGGGCCAAGGTCTTGGGGTCATCGCGGAGATCAATCTGCAAAAAAGCATCCACGCATGTGATAAACTTCTTCTCAGGTGTGACCAGGTATTATTTTATTTTATTTTATTTATTTAATATATTTTATTGATTTTTTTTTTTTTTTTTTTTTTTTTTTTTTTTTTTTTTTTACAGACAGGAAGAGGGAGGGATAGAGAGTTAGAAACACCCATGAGAGGATTGGTAGAATCAACATCATCAAAATGTCCATACTTCCTAAAGCAATCTGTAGGTTCAATGCACTCCCCATTAAAATACCAACGACATATTTCACTGACCTAGAAAGAACTCTCCAAAAGTTCATTTGGAACAATAAAAGACCCCGAATAGCCACAGCAATCTTGAGAAAGAAGAGTAAAGTAGGAGAGATCTCAATACCAGACTTCAAACTATATTACAAAGCCACTGTTCTCAAAACAGCCTGGTACTGGCACAAGAACAGACATATAGACCAATGGAATTGAATCGAGAACCCAGATATCAACCCAAATCACTATGCTCAATTAATATTTGACAAAGGAGGCACGAATATACAATGGAGTCAAGACAGTTTCTTCAATAAATGGTGTTGGGAAAATTGGACAGACACTTGCAAAAGAATGAAACTAGATCACCAACTTACACCATTCATAAAAATAAACTCAAAATGGATACAGGACTTAAACATCAGATGGGAAACCATAAAAATACTAGAAGCATCCACAGGCAGCAAAATCTCAGACGTATGCCAAAAGAACTTCTTCACTGATACTACCCCTAGGGCAATGGAAGCTAAAGAGAAAATAAACAAATGGGACTACATCAGAATAAAAAGCTTTTTTACAGCAAAAGAAACCATCAACAAAGCAACAAGAAAGCCCACTGTGTGGGAGAACATATTTGCAAATGATACCACTGATAAAGGTTTAATCTCCAACATCTACAAACAGCTCATACACCTAAATAAAAGGAAGATGAATAATCCAATTAAAAAATGGGCAATGGATCTAAATAGAACATTTTCAAAAGAAGACAGAAGGAAGGCCAAAAGGCACATGAAAACATGCTCAAAGTCACTAATTGTCCGAGAGGTGCAAATCAAAACAACAATGCGGTACCATCTCACACCTGTCAGAATGGCCAACATCAACAAGTCAACAAACGACAAGTGTTGGCGAGGTTGCGGAGAAAAAGGAACCCTCGTGCACTGCTGGTGGGAATGCAGACTGGTGCAACCACTGTGGAGAACAGTGTGGAGTTTCCTCAAAAAACTGAAAATGGAACTCCCATTTGACCCACTAATCCCACTTCTAGGAATATATCCCAAGAAACTAGAAACACCAATCAGAAAGGATATATGCACCCCTATATTCATAGCAACACAATCTACAATAGCCAGAATTTGGAAACAGCCTAGGTGCCCGTCAGCAGATGACTGGATAAAAAAACCATGGTACATCTACACAATGGAATACTATGCTGCCATAAAAAAGAAGGAATTCTCATCATTTGCAGCAACCTGGATGGAATTGGAGAACATCATGCTGAGTGAAATAAGCCAATCAATGAAAGAGAAACACCACATGACCTCACTCATTTGTGGATGATAAAGAACATTATAAACTGATGAACCAAAAGATAGATATAGAGACAGTATATCAACAAGTAGACTGTCAAATTACAGCGGGGAGGGGAGGAAGATCTGGGAGAGATAATAGATCAACCGAAGGACTTTTATACATGCACATAAGTACAACCAATGGACACAAAACTCTGGGGAGGGAGGGGATGTATGGGAGGGAAGGAGGGGGGCAAAAAAAAATCAATAAAATATATTAAAAAAATAATAATAATAAAAATAAAATAAATTATATTGGTAGCCTGGAAATGCAAAAAAAAAAGAAAAAAAAAGAAAAAAAAAGAAACACCCATGAGAGAATCATCGATCAGCTGCCTCTTGCACAGCCCCTACTGGGATGCACCCCCAACCAACGTACATGCCCTTGACCAGAATCGAACCCAAGACCTTTCAGTCCACAGGCCAATACTCTATCCACTGAGCCAAACCGGTTTCGGCCATGACCAGGTATTTTAAACTGTGACATCACAGATCTCTCCCCTCCCCTCCATGACATCTATGAGGTTGATACATCTTCTTTAAGAAAGCACACGCACATGCCCATGTTAAGTCTAAACATGACGGTGACTTCCTCGTCAGTGTATGCACCAGGCTTTCCTTGTCCTCTCCCCTTCAAAGCAGTTACCCGGGGGCTGAGGACTGTCTCCAAGGATTCGGTGGCTGTCTCAGATGTTTTGGAAATTTTCTCTTTATTTCTAGAGCATTCTGATAGGGCATACAAGATAACTGATGGGTCTCATTAGCTTGCAGTGATGCTTAGTTGATCCTACACTATATTATTCATTTTTAATAGTTTATTTCCTGGCAAAAAGAGATATATGTTGGCTTTTTAAAACCAAATCCTCCCCCTCTCAGGACATTGTAACAAATACGCTGCGGGCTCTGAAGGAAAGTCCGAAGGAGAAATTTCCAAAGGGTTTGTTTGCTTAAGGAATAAGCATTCATCTCTCCAAAGGCAAGACGACTCTGCAAGTAGCATGTATGTTTGGTTAGGTTTTATAGTTTAATTAAATATTTTAGTTGCTATAAATCTCACTGTGTATGAGAACCCTGGCATGCATGAATGTGTGTGAATGCGGGCCCATGTCCTTCAGCATCTTCCCTTTCTGTGTCTTGGGGCTAGTACTTTGGGTTTAACACAAAGAACAAAATCTACTTAAAACTATAAAAAGTTGGAACAACATTTAACACCTTTGTGCAATTACTGTGGGAAATCCAAGCAGCGGAACTTCATTAGCTTTGAAAACACTTTAAAGCCTTTGTGGTCGCAGTTTAGCTTTTCTGGAATATCTGTCTTCACTTTGTCCTGAGATCTGGAAGACCCAGGTGCTTACGGGTAAGAGGGAAGAGTGAATCTGTTGGCAGGAGCGTCACCAAGGCTTTCCTGTACATCCTGATTGCTGGCGTTACTTTGCTATTCACACCTATTTTGGAACTTAGTTATACAAAATATCAGCTGGTAAGTGTACTTGACATCCCTTCTTCATTCTTCTGGCTCAGGGCAGGAGAAGGGTGCCAATTTCAAAAATTACTTGGTTATTTAAGAATAAAAAGCCAAGTGATTCATTTTGAAACGTCACATTAAAACTTCCTGTTTTGAATTACATAGCTCTATTCTTTTCAACTATGGCTAAGTAATTATGCAGACCGTAAGAACGGCTGGGCTGTTTGTAGGATTGATCTCACCTGAGATCCTCTTCTGCAGTGTTTGGTAGGAAAAGGATGTTCAAGATATTCCCTCAAAGACCTTCCCTTTTATGGCCACCTCCCACCAGCCCCATCCGCCCTGCCATCGCCCCCTTTATGTAACCTGGGTCCCGATGAGGACGTAAGGCACGTGGGGCATGCAGTCCTTCAGCTCCGGGACCCATTCCTCCTGGACGTTGTGATAAGAGGCAGGATTTACCACCGAGAAGCAGATCAGAAACACGTCCGTGTTGGGATAGGAGAGAGGCCTCAGCTGGTTGTAGTCCTCCTGTGGGGAGAGGGGGTACAGCCTGGTGAGCGGGTCCCGTTTGGTTCCGTGGAATCCTGACACAGGCAAGATCCCACAGACCCTGTGCCTTCCCTGCCCTGGAACCTGGTGCTTCCTCATGTTACTAGAAATAAAGGAGCCATCAGTTAGAAAACATCTTTTTGCTATGTGTGGAAATGATAAATTGCTCCCTTTTAAGATGAACTTTAAAAAATATTTTTAACAGCTTCAGTGAGATAATTTACATACCTCAAAGTTCACCCACTTAATGCACACACTTCAATAAGGATTATTGCAATTCTGTCACATTGGAACCGTGTTGTACTGAATATGTTTTTGAATTAGTGGGCCATTGGCCAAGGCAGTGAAATGCTCTCCTTGTTCACTTTTTAAAAGTTGCATTTACATTTAACTTAGAAAAGCTAACTAAAATGCAAAATAAGGAGTTGAAGAATTATGTTGTGTGAAGGTTTAGAGCTCAGAATTTGGGATTTGTTTCTAAGTCTAACTACCACCCTAGGGTGGCCTAATAAATGTAATGCCAGTTTAGTTGTTTTCTCCCCAGAGACTTTTCCGAGCAGAATATGCCCTGGTAAGAGGCCCATATGCTAAGAACACTCCCTCCCAGGCCATAACCTACAACTGCTGATGACACCACCTGCCCTTTTCACTTATTCCTCACACCTGCGGGGTCATAAACGGAGCAGGACTTTGTGGATTTTGTCCTCATGCCCAACTTGTACTCTGTTCATGGCAAATGTTCCATAAATGCTGTTGACTGATGAGATGACCTTGGTCTTCAGTGACCTGCAAATGAACACATGGCTTTTCCATGGGTCACTTACTGCGATAGAATCACCTGGGGAGTTTTAAGACCATCTTGATGCTCTGTTAGCCAACTACCTGCCCTTACCCACTCTCCTACTCTGGGGCCAATTAAATCAGAATATCTGGCTTGCATATTTGGGCATTTTGACTTCCTTGATCTGGAATTGAGAACAGTTAATTACATAGTCATCATTATCACCTCCATCAACTATATATATATATATATATATATATATATATATATATATATATATATAAATGATTCATTCTTAAAGGCCAGCCATTGTTTCAAGCACTTACATGCATTATCCTGTTGAATCATCACTACTGGAAAGATGGTACTATCAATGTCCACATTTCATAGAAGAGGAAATTAAGGTTAAGAGAAGTTCAGCAACTGACAAATGTCACAGAACTATTAAATATCAGGATGGGATAGTTAGCCTGAATCCAACTCTAGCTCTTAATCGTGACCACACTATTGCTTCAGAATTTTAAGTGGCAGATTAAACATTTTCTCAAAAATTCAGTTACCCAGGAATCTTAATATAGACTCATGCTTTACCCAAGGGGCTAAGAAATATAGAGACCACATGGTGTGTGTGTGTGTGTGTGTGTGTGTGTGTGTGTGTGTATTACTATATATATATAGTAATCTCCTTCATTGCCTGCATCTATCAGAAAATACCACCAGATGGCAGCAAACACTGTATATTTAAAACCTCAAAGTAAAAAACAAAAAACAAAAAAACAAACCCCAAAAACAAAAAACAAAACAAAACTGGGAGGAATGTCACAGCTAGACGAGGTAGGAGCAAATAACTGGGAGTCGGAAAGGATCATGACTTTCTACCCAGAAGCTATCAAATGAGTCCCTCCAGCTGAGGGGCTTCTGACCGTGTCCTTCATCGGACCTTATCCTGCTCTGTATTCTGATCTCTCTTGTGTGGAAATAATACTCTTGCTGGGTTATTCCCTTTAAAAATGAGTATTAATTGACTCCTGAATATGTTATGGATGCCATAGGAACTATAGAAAGTGAATAAGAATTGTCAATCCAGTCGGGAGAAAGAAAGGAAAATATGGGAAACAACTCCATTTATGTGGAAGTGAGATGGGTGAATTATTTCTTGTTCTTTGTTAGCTCCATGATCATAGAATAATGAGAATCTTATTTATTTTTATTTTTAAAAAGTATATATTATTGATATTTTACAGAGGGACAGAAAGCTAGAAACATTGACGAGAGAGAATCATCGACCAGCTACCTCCTGCACACCCCCACCAGGGATGTGCCCGCAACCAATGTACATGCCCTTGACTGGAATCGAACCTGGGACCTTTACAGTCCACAGGCTGACGCTCTATCCACTGAACCAAACCAATTTCGGCAATAATGAGAATCTTGATTTGCCTGAATGATTTGACAGTCAGTACAGTGGCTCCCAAAAGCATGGTCCCCTGCCAGCAGCATTGGCGTCACTTGGGAGCGTGGTAGGCATGTCCACTCCAGCTCCCGCCCAGCCCTCCTGGGGCTGAGGCTCTGGGGGAGGGGGTGCTGCACCCTCTGTGTCTCTGTGTGCCCTCCAGGTGACTCTGTATCATCATGTTTCAGAAACACAGGTTACCATGCTTCCCTTCCACCCCAGCCAATTTTGTAGTTTAAGAAACCCCAGCCTAGGCAGATTATCTAAGTGACTGTATTGGGATTATAGAGCAAACATATCTTTATTTTAAAAAAAAATATATTTTATTAATTTTTTACAGAGAGGAAGGGAGAGAGATAGAGAGCTAGAAACGTCGATGAGAGAGAATCATCAATCAGCTGCCTCTTGCACACCCCCTACTGGGGATGTGCCCGCAACCAAGGTTCATGCCCTTGACTGGATTCGAACCTGGGACCTTTCAGTACGCACTGAGCCAAACCGGTTTCGGCAAGCAAACATACCTTTAAAGAAGCCTCACACCTGGGCCGCCTGGGCTCTTTCAGCCCCCATTTGCCACTGGCCAGAGCTGTGAAGTGTGGCAGGGGCTGGGGATGAACAACAGGGAGCATCTCCTGGGACTGAGAGCAGGGCAGTGTGAGGTCGAGAGATCTGAATGTGTACCAGCTGATAACGAAGTGATTTTTATGTTTGTGAATGAGCACAATGAGAGCCTAGATTGGAGGTTGAGATGGTGTAAAAGGGCTGAGGGAAGTGGGTAAAAAGTCTAGCTGGTATTTGAAATGACTGGTAAGACTGGACGACCAGTGCTTGAGTGCTTCTTGAAGGGACAGTGTTTTAATCTAAAAGAAAAAAACTCAAATGGGCCTTTGGAGGGTTAAAGTGGACAAAGAGGTTGGGGTGAGGGTAGGGGCGGAAAATCGGGGGGATGGATATTAGGGAGAGATGTGGGGAAAGGTAGGCTTTGTACTTCCCACCTAGCTACACCCCAAAGAGAGTAGAGTGGTTTGAAGGCAGGCCTGGTGTTCTGGGAGGACTGTGGGTGACTATTAGAAAAGTTCAGGGACCCCCTTAGCATCCAATGGTTCTGGTGGTGAGCGAAGCCATTAGACCAGCCCTCCTCAGACTTGATGCACATTTGAATCCCCCGGGATCTTGTTAAAGCGCAGATTCTTAAAAAAAAAAAAAAAAAAAAAAAAAAAAAAATATATATATATATATATATATATATATATATATATATATATATATATAATTGATTTTTCACAGAGAGGAAGGGAGAGTGATAGAGAGCTAGAAACATCGATGAGAGAGAAACATCGATCAGCTGCCTTCTGCACACCCCCACTGGGGATGTGCCTGCAACCAAGGTACATGCCCTCAAGCAGAATTGAACCTGGGACCCTTCAGTCCACAGGCCGACGTAAAGCGCAGATTCTTATTCAGCAGCAGGTCTGGGATGAAGCTCGAGAGTTTGCATTTCTAACCACTTTCCAGGTCACGCTGACCCCGCTGGTCCGGGGACCACACTTGGAGCGGCAAGGACAGTGCTTCGCACATTCCTTCCACCTCTCTTATCCCGCAGTCAGTTGGAAGTAGGAGTCTGCTTCCAAGTCTTCTTGGGTTTAGTGACATTTATCCCAGATTTCCAGCACAAGTCTCATTTTCCTATTAACCCATAAACACGCTCATAGCTGTCAGGCTTGGCTTGGAAAACCTGGGCAACATACCTAGGGCGGGGGTGTAGCCCAGCGCTTAAGAGCATGGGCTAGGGAGGCACATTCTCTGGGTTCAAATCTCACCCTGTCCCGTGACTACTGTGTAGTCTTGGGTAAGCTCTCACTGCCTCAGTTTCTTCCTCTATAAACTGGTTGGCAATAGTGTTGGCATCATAGGACTCTGATGGGTATAAAAGGTGTTAATATTTGTAGGCCACTTAGAACAGAGCCCTGAATGTAGTAAGCTCTTCAGTAGTCCAGAGTCCATCCTGCATCCCGTGCCAACGATTGCTGCAGCGCCCTTATCTTCATTGGAGAGCAGGGCTGAATCTGAAATGAGCTTTTCCCTAAACTGAGTAGTAACGAGACCCAAATGTTTACATGCTCTGGTCGAAACTCTGATTCAATGTCTCTACAGATTCATTTTTCAAAATGTGGGGGGAAGTAAGATCGTGTCCTAAGGTTGTCATGTGGGGGAACTGCTACCTAACCCCCAATTTGCACACTCTCAAACCACAGTAAGAAGCGTGTGATCAAGAAAGGGTGGGTTACTCATTGAGGAAAAACAATTATTTTGAGGTTTTAGGCAAACTTTCCATGGAGGATTGAAGCCAGGTTCTGTTCTCCAGATGGCCCCACTGGGTGAGCCAACAGCGAAAGGGAAGACTGACGTCCATCCAAGTAGACCCTGGGTTGCCTTTAATGAACCCCAGCTGTACTTGCCGCCCTGCCTGTCCCATGTCTCTGCAGCCCACTGGGGAAAGGGACCTTGAGAAATCGGGGCCGGAGCAGCCCAGGCTGAGGCGTGCAGCTGACGGCCTTTCTGCTCCCCCGCGCCCATGGTCGCTGGTGACGGACAGGCTGCCGTGGGCTGCGGTTTCTCAGTGACACACCCATTCTGTGCTTGCCCACATGCCGATCCTGCGGGGCTTGCATGCAGGGAACTCGGGGATGTACCCTGCTGAGAACCAAACTCCTGACACCAAAAGATTCTCGTTCTTCTCTGGCAGCGCCACCAACAGCCACTTCTGCAGATGTTGCTTTGAGATATGTCCATCCTGGAGTTTGGTCCGAGAGGCCTCCATTTGAGCCGCGGTTTGCCCATATGTAAGCCAGGGCCTACTCAGAGAAGGAGGCAAGACGTCTTAGTACCATGGCTGGCTCCACTCTGGGTGGTAGGAAGACGCTGGGCGCAGAGCCATGACCCGGGAGAGACCCCTGTCCTAGCTTGGCATTCCTCGGCCTGCGAAGGGCTAGGCGTTGCTCCAGCATCCCCACCCCAGCATCCTGCTCTCCATTGGCCTCTCATGATGCACTCTAAACAACTGGCCTGCAAGCACGTCATGGAAAAGTTGGCTCTCGGATTCTTTGAAGCTGAGCCAAAGACCTGAACTCTAGAGATGCCTTTCAGAGAGATGCTCAGAAATACACTCCTAGGGGGCATGTGCCGGACAGGATGAGACGGCAAGACTTAGAGGGATCTGGCTCCCAGGCCTGGCATTATTGCCTCCCCAGTGTGAGCTGAGGGGCAACATGCAGAGTCACCCTGAGAAACAGCCCTTATTTCATTGACTAACCCAGTGATTTTCAACTGGTGTGCTGCAAGTGTTTTTAAAACATGCAATATCTGACTTAGGGGCACTGACACTTTTCCCTTAGATTGTCAAATAAAAAAGTGATAAAAGCCAATATAACAAAAGTTGTCCAGTGTAGCTGAATCAAAATTACACTTATTTTATTTTATTTTTTTGGTTAGATTGGGAAAAAGAACAGTCTTTGGTGTGCCACAGAATTCTGGTAATTAGCTTATGAGATGTAAAGGGTTGAAAATCCCTGGCCTAACCTAATATTTGGAATTCTAACAGATGAAGCAGAGTTCTGAAGAGACTGTTTGTAGAAGACTCTACTCCAAGTCCAAATATTAGTTTGTTTCAGGCTTTGGGGAGAGAGCTAATGCCTAACAGCAGCTGCCATGTGCTGGCAGTGTATGTGTGTGACTTCATTGTGAACTGTTTTTATAAAGCAAATGCTTGGCTGGCTTGTCAGGGCTGGGTTAAGGTCTTAGTTGTGCCCAAGGCCAATGAAATGCAGCCAAGTGGTGGGAACAGGTCAAAAGATTTGTTCAGGGGTAACTTTGAGGGTAGAAATAATGAATTCCTATCAATTTACCTTTCAGAACACGTGCTTTTTGAGGTTGGTTTCATTAATTCTGACCCAGAGTTAGCTCAAGCTAAGATGAGGGACTCTGCTCCTTGGTTTATTCATGAAATAAAATTATGCACAGCAAGGCATCTTGCTGGGAACTCTATAGCCGGGCTCAGAGACTTATTACCTTTTTGTGGTTTAAAAAGGAATCAAGTTTGAGATCACAGCTCTTTCTTACTAGCAACTTTGGCCAAATGAGTGTTTTTGAGTTTGTTATAGATGTTTCTTAGCCTCATGACTGCACCAACATTATTAGACTATAATGGAGGAGGGTGACTACTCTATCTGAGGCAGGGAGTGGAAATTTTGGGACAATGCTTCTAAATTAAATTTATCATAAAGACTGATTGGCAGAGTCATTGAACCATGGAAATCAACTCAAGTAATATTTTTCACCACCTCTTCCTAACACTAGGAACCATGCCTCAACCACCAAGGACTTCTAGAGGGGTGCTTCTCAAATTTGTATGTGCACATTAATCACCTGGGGGTCTTTAAAAATAAATTTTAGAATGTAGTAGGTAGAGGTGGGGCCTGAGATTTGCATTTCTAATAGGGTCACTGGTGACATTGATGCTGCTGGTCACTGGAACATACTTTGAGTGACAAGGATGGTGTACAGACCAATAGCAGTATCATCAGGAAACATGTGAGAAAAGCAAATTCTTGAGCTCTACCTGTAGAACAAGAAATTGGGGCTGGGGCCGAGTGGCTGGTTTTTGTGTGATTGTGATGCCTGTTCAAGTCTGCGCACTGGTCTACAAAATGGACTACCGGTCATCCTTAGTGTAACAGATTTCAACATTTAATAGTTCTTTAAAAAATATATATTTTAGGGATAGAGAGTTAGAAACATCGATCAGCTGGCCCCTACACACGCTCTACTGGGGATGTACCCACAACCAAGGTACATGCCCTTGACCGGAATCAAACCTAGGACCACTGAGTCCATAAGCCGACACTCTATCCACTGAGCCAAACCAGTCAGGGCAACATTTAATAATTCTTTACTCTGAAAAGTTTCCCTTAGGTCTAGCCTCAAATCATTTTGCTTAATTACTCTATTTCTTTTAGTCTTTCTTAGAGTCATCTTTTTTTATTTTTATTAACTTTTTAAAAAATATATATTTTATTGATTTTTTACAGAGAAGAGAGAGGGATAGAGAGTTAGAAACATCGATGAGAGAGAATCATCAATCAGCTGCCTCTTGCACACCCCCAACTTGGGGATGTGCCCCCAACCAAGGTACATGCCCTTGACTGGAATCGAACCAGGGACCTTTTAGTCAGCAGACCAACGCTCTACTGCTGAGCCAAACTGGTTTTGGCTCTTTTTTTTATTTTTAATTCTCATCTGAGGATTTTCAAAAGAAAGGAAGGGAGAGAGAGAGAGAAGACATTAATTGGTTGCCTCCTGCACACCCCCTGTTGGGATCAAACCCATAGCCAAGGTCCTTGCAAATGCAAATGCCCTGATTGGAAACAGATCCCACCACCCTGTGATGCCCTGGATGATGCCCAACCAACTGAACCAATCTTGGAGACATCTTTTAAAGTTCCTACCCATAGAATTTGAGGCCTAGAGGAAAATGTAAGACATGTTTTGATTCTATTTCCTCGTGTTTTATGTTCCCCCAGAGCTTTGTCTACCTCTGAGCTTTCAAAGTAGCTGCTGGAAAACATTAAAGTGAAAGTTAAGTTGAAGAAATACCTAAAACCATTTGTTGTTATATTTTATCTGTGCCCATCACTTTCCCCTGTGTCAGAGGTTTAGGTCATTCTACTTTCTTCAATTTGGTGTTTAAAGATATTTTTGCCCTACCTTTAGAGCTTCAACTCCTATACTAGTATAAATTTTTGTTTTTCTAAAAAGGACCGAGCAGTGGGAAAGAAGAATTTAACTCCACATGAGCTTTTAAACCATTTTATTGAATTTGAAATTAAATAGAGGCCTGGGGAGGTTGTTCTGGGGACAATTAACTCACAGAAGTTAACAATTGCATGGACTGCTATACAAGGGGGAGGGCATGAGGGGCACAGAACACTTTTTAGAAGGCACGGGAAACAGAGGTTTCAGAGTCAGGCCATAATTCTTGCTGTACAGAACTTTTAAAACTGGATTTAATATCTATAAAACCTGACTATAGGGGAGAAGGGTGTAAACTCCTCTTTCTTTAAGACTGTGAGTCCCTGATGAAGGGGAATACCCCAATGATTATGTGATTGAGTTTGGCAACTCCAGACCAAAGAGCTGCACACCCTTCTTGCTGGAATGCTTTCTGGTGGAGGAGTAGCCAAGTATGAGGCCCCTGTACTTAGCTCAGAGGAGATGAACCAATCTTCCCATATTGGGGATCTGGGGGTATCCTGTTCTAGTTCTGTGTCTTGGTATTACTGTGAGTTCCCACTTCCTGAGAGTAGATGGCCCAAATAGCCATCTGCTGATGAGGGGAAACTGGATGCTCTTAGAAATCTTGAGTTTGGAGCTAGATTCTCTAGGTTCCCCACTTCTTAGACCTGCCCAATATTAGCCTTTGATGTCCCGCAGACATTTATACAGTGGTCCTTGCAAATGACTACAGAAATCCTAAATAAAATTCCATTTACTTTTTTTTTTTTTCTCTCCTAGTAAAGAGCTTTCAAGTTGAGCAGAAAGACATATAACCAGATACTTGGGAGGAGTGGGGAGAGAAAGGGGCGGGGAAGGCCTAGACAAATGTATAACTATAAATAACAATTACCAGGAAACTCACAGTGGGAAAGAGCGTGGTCAGATATTCACTCGAAAGGACTTAAGATGTAAAACTACACAACCCACTGATTTTGACCTTAACAAATGACCCAAGACATATGGTAACAAAAGCTCTATCAAAGAAATTGGCCCACAGCTATCCATTGCTTAACCACCTCCTCTCCAGCCGGTGAACTTGTAACATTAGAAACTTTTCATAATGGAGTATGGGGTGTTTTGAAAGAAAGTTAAGGCGGCATTTTCACCAAGTGGAGCATGTGCTAACTGATTAAGTGTTGAGAGTTCTAGTTCATTGCTTTAAGTTGATGGTTGGCCAGGTTTTCCAGACTTGAAGAGATATATCTAACAGAGTGAGAATATTTAAAAAATCTTAGAGACGTGAGAGTCAACTTCTAGTTATTCACTTTTGGAAAACATCTAGTTCTGGTTTTTCTTTCTCCCAACACTTACTCTGTTTTCTTCCTACCCCTTACTCACCATCTCCTATCTTATTTGGAACCTTTTCACAGCTCATTAGGCAATTCAAATAAAGGGTGGACAAAGAATATAGTGCAAAAATATAATGGGTGAAACTCAAACTTGAAATTGACTCAGTAATCCTAGATCTGGAATTGATATGAGTAGGAAGAACTTGAGAGTCTTGGCCAAATACATTATTTTGGTTATTGTTAGTCATCAATCAATGAATAAATTATTATTTGCCTATTAACATCTTGAATCATATAATGCTTAGTTTTTTTTTTGTAATTATAAATATTTTTAAGATATTAAGAATAAGCTTTGGTTGTCATTTAGGTAGATAATAAATTTGCCCTCAATGATCAGAAGAGGTAATATCTATTGAAGGAACCAATATAATAAAAATAAAACAAGATAATAATGTACCTGTCCTGCCGTGTCATACAGTCCGAGCAAGTGTTGCTTGTCTCCCACGGTCACAGTAACTAGGGGAGAAGAGAAAAAGAGAGTCCATAAATACAAGCTTTAATCAGGAGCCTTCACATTTCTCCATGCCAACCTCTCTTTGGGCAGCGAGGGTAAGCATATGCCTCATCCGTGTATATTCTAAACCAAGATGACAGCATGGTTTCCAAATGAAAGACAACCTTGGGCTGCAGTAAGAGTGGATGGGCTGAGCCAAGACCAGATTTTTCAAATGAGATTGTTATTGGGGGAAGTTGGGGTATCACTCTCCTATTGACTGCCAGAGTTGGAGTCCTTATGATATCTAAAGAAAAAGAGTTTTCTGAGACTTGCATGTGAAGATGAGTGATTAAAAAAAAATATTTTATTGATTTTGTACAGAGAAGAAGGGAGATAGAGAGTTAGAAACATCGATGAGAGTCATCGATCAGCTACCTCTTGCACACCCCCCACTGGAGATATGCCCGCAACCAAGGCACATGCCTTTGACCGGAATTGAACCCGGGACCCTTCAGTCCCCAAGCCGATGCTCTATCCATTGAGCCAAACCGGTCTCAGCTGAAGATGAGTGATTTTTATTTGCATGGGATTACATCCCTGGGTTTCGAAAGTCCCATTTCCCTTAATCGAGTCCGGGAAGAAGTATAATTGGGGTTTTAGTAGAGCTAAAAGCAAAACCAGTGCCCAGAGTTTCCTTTCCATGTTGCAGATGGGTCCAGTTCAGCATTAGTCTAGTTTCAGTCCATTAGTTCATTGTGTGTGGGGCAAATGCAGGTGAGTCAAGAGAGCATTACCCCCCCCCCCCCCCCCCTGCTGCCCCGCTCCACAAAAGAGTCCCTAGAGAGCAAAGAGAGAGAATTTCTTTGTTCAGGGGATTACATATTCTGAATTTCTGGCCCTTGCAGTGGCCACACCCATTCTGGCCAATGACCTATTCCAGGTGTGACTGACAGGAAAGCACCCTCCCTATGTCATCCCAACTTTACCGGGCATTTATCTATCTTCCTTTGCTGGACCCCTGGAAGTGTAAAATTGTAGCTTCCTGGCAAAGCTGCCCAAATGACATGCCTATAAAACTGGGCCTTCCCTTTGCTCTTTTCCTGTTATTAATAACTAGGTTAATTACAATGATATTAAGATGAATATTAATTGATGACCTAAAGGCACTCTGTAGACTTCTCATTGATTCTTATTAAGCCCTAGAATATCAAGCTTCTGAAGGGAAAAAAATGCCAAACTTTTTATTGGTTAGGTTATTTTTTCATTCCATTTGTTTGAGCCACCTTTCAGGACACAGAATTGTATAAGCATTCTCTCTGTTAGAAATCTGTTTTTATCTGTCTTTGAAATGTTAACAAAACCTCCAAAACAAAGAATATTAACCCATCTGCATATTTTATAATCTCTAAGGCAAAGCAAATAAACAAAATGGACTTCATATTTATTTTAAAAAGTTTCTTAAATTGAATATTCTGTGCTTTAGCTCAACTGATTCATTACACTTTTGAACCTTAGTTGCAGGAGGACATGTTGTACGGATTCAGTTTCGCATACCTAAAGGTGTATGTAGAGTGAAAAGTGGAGAGTTTGATTTACCCAGTAGGCTTACTGCTTTGCCAAGCAATTGTACCCAAAAATGAGAATAGAGGGATACCATCCAGTCTGTACATGTCTGGCAATGAAAAAAAGTCTCAACTTGAAACTAAACTGAGATTGAGCAGATTGAATGCATAATACACTTCTCTTGGTGAGTAGAAAGAGCAAACTTAGATTTCAAAAAAAAATTGATTTCTCTTTGGAAAAAGGATATAAAATAATAAAGGAGAATGTGATTCTTCCTATTTGATTAAAAACTGCATATACAATGGAAAGACGCCTCCATTAGCTATGCAGGAAATGAAAGGGAAACTGAATTAGCAATCTTTTATTTTTATTTATTGGTTTTAGAGAGAGAGGGCGATAGAGCTAGAGAGAGATCTATTTGTTGTCCTACCTAGTTATGCATGCATTGGTAGCTTCTTTATGCGTCCTGATTGGGGATCAAACCCACAATCTTGGCATATCGGGGATGACACCCTAGCCAACTGAGCTACCCAGCCAGGGCTGAAGTAGCAACCTTTTAACCAGTTAACTACCACGATATTTTGAATTTAATTTAAAAAGTCCACTGCTTGCATCTATAGATGCTTATGATGTGCAAATGGTTAAAACCCTATCTCTAACATATGCCAGCCAAATTCTCTAGCCTGCTGCTCAGTAGCTGCTTTTACTTTTATTTGTTTTCAGGCTGATGGGCTACATGTATGCAAAGTACTTCTTTTTTTTTTTTTAATATATTTTTATTGATTTTGTACAGAGAGGAAGGGAGAGAGATAGAAAGAAACATCGATGAGAGAGAGTCATCGATCAGCTGCCTCCTGCACACCCCCCACTGGGGATATGCCGGCAACCAAGGTACATGCCCTTGACCGGAACCGAACTCGGGACCCTTCAGTCCCCAAACCAACGCTGTATCCATTGAGCCAAACCGGTCTCGGCCAAAGTACTTCTTAAGTGGCTCCTTTCTCGCAAAGCACTTGTTTAAAAGCACTGCCTCCACAAACACTGGGATTTTTTATTTTATTTTTAAATCTGTACAGGTCAACATGTATTAAGCTTGATAACATCGCTGCAGCCACTCAGCTTTTAAATGTGTACTTTAAAAGTGAACCTGGCTCCATCCAACCCTGGTGACAACACTGACAGAAGGGATTTTAAACATTTTCACTTCTCTCCAAATGCCAGGCTAGTGGTGGAAGTGACGGTGAGTTGGCGTGGCCTGGAACTCTTTGTCCTGCTCTGTTTTTCTCTTCCTGAATGTTTTTGCTTAAGTCCAGCTGTATGTTCCTGAAATCTGATTAAATGCTTTCTTTCGTGGCCAATTCACTACCTAGTCATGGATCAGGAGCAAAGGGAAGAAAGCCAGCCATTTCCAGGAATTTCCTAACCCTACCAAGCCCAGAACATGCAGGTCAGGGGCAGCTGTTCCAGGGACCTCCTTGGACCATGCCACGACCCACAGGCCCAGAGCCTCCTGTGGCGCAAGCCCTAGTAGCCGAGTCATCCCGGGGCTCCACGGAGAACCGCAAATATTCCTGAGCAATGGCCCTGACCTTTGCCACCGGAGCCCTGAAGCTCCTGCTCTGGCTTTCTCAGAGAACTATGCCCTCCAGTCTGCTTGTCCTCAGGCCTTACTCTTCCTTCCCTTGGCAGCTTTGGGGCCAGTGCCAGCCCAGGAAGGGTGGGCTGCGGGCGGAGAGCCTTCTTTTCTCTCAGGCCTTCCCGCCTGCAGGGTGTTTGAGCTCCTGGTCCTCATTATTGGGAGTAGGAAGACTGTCCAACTGGAGAGGAGGGGTTACCAGCAAGGCGTGGGCACCCTGCAACATAGTGAACTCCATGCCAGGGCAGCGTGGAGGCGTGGGAGCTCGCAGAGAGATATTACTGTGCGTGCGTGCGTGCGTGCGTGCGTGTATGTACACGTGCGTGTGCGTGCTGTGAGGCGTGGGGGCACCCGAGGGGGCCCTGCTGGGTGTGCGCATGCGCACTTCTGAAGCTCGGTCAGAGAAGGCTTCCCGGAGGACGTGTGTGAGCTCAGGCCCCAGGATGGTCACACGTTACCCAAGGTGCATTGGCAGAAGGGATGAGGGCGGTGCAGGAGCCACTAGGGTGTGCTGGGGTGGGCAAGGGGTGGCGCCCTAGCTCCCTATGCTGCCTGGGGAGATGGGGCAGAAGAGGTGGGCATGCAGGGTGAGGCTAGACCAGTGGTCGGCAAACTCATTAGTCAGCAGTACAACGATTGAAATTTCTTTTGAGAGCCACATTTTTTAAACAAACTATATAGGTAGGTACATTGTTATTAACTTAATTAGGGTACTCTGAAGCTGGCCTTTATTAAAAACTCAAGGGTCCAAAGAGCTGTATGTGGCTCACAAGCCGCAGTTTTCCGATCTTGGGGCTGTTTCACGAATGTAGCCTTTATCCAGAAGGCTTTGTTTATCAATGGAAGCCCCCAGTGCTCACTCTTTCTCCTCTCACTTCCCCAAGAAACTGAAAGAGAAGGAATGAAAACAATTTCCTTGGGTTCTGGCAAATGGTGGGAAGATGGAGGGTGACATGTTGGGGTGGGAGTGGTGTGATTTTCAGCTCTGCCTGGGAAGTGTCTGTCTCTGTGTGCCTGGCCAGCTCTGCTGGAGGAATCGAAAGGAAGGGAGCAGAGCTTGTGCCCCTGTCTCTGGAAATCACGTTTATTCTCTCTTCTCTGCCCTTCCATTCCCCCATTTTATTGGAAGGGAGATAAGTGGATCACACAGTTGATGCTAGAGAACATCTAGGGACAGCTGGAGACAGATCCGAGCGTTAATCACAGATGTGGGTTGTCCAAATGGCTTTGTGAGCCCTTATCTCGGACCAGCAGTGGAGGCCTTACTGTTGCCAACAGGCTGCAGCGTCCTCTGAGGCCCCTTCGTTTGGAAGTGAATCAGCCACAGTAGCACAGCAGGCAGCTGTGCCCTAAAATGCTAACAGTAAATGCAGTGAGGTCGAAAGGGCAGGATCTTTGAAGCCAGGTGGGTCTCATTATAATCCCACCTTTGCTATTCGCTGTCTGCGTGGCCTTGGGAAAGTAACCTAACATCTCCGTGTCCTTATTTGTTAAAAATGGGGACACCGAGGCCTACCAAGGTGAGGACTTGTGAGAAGGAAATTCAGTGAGAAAATGCCTGGCACACAGCCTGGCCCATTCGTAGCGGGTGATGAACAACTGTTCTTTTCTCTCCGCCAGCAAATGCTTATTAAACCTCTTCTAAGGACAAGTCTGTCTTGCTCTCCACTGTATGCCCAGTGCACATTAACCGGCACATAGTAGGGTCTTGATATTTGTGAATTACCCGTCACTTTCTATCCTAAAGGGTAGCTATTTAGATCTTTGTCTTATGTCTCCCGCTGGACAGGAAGACCCCCGCGGACAGGATTCCCATACCCC